CAGCCAGTGTTCTTAACCACTGAGCCATCTCTCCAGCTCTTGAGGTTTTTAACCTGCCCCACCCCTATCCATATCTGAGAATCTTGCCTCAAGTCCACTGACAGGTTCAGCCTTTGATAGCAAACAGGGGTGGGGGGCCTACATTTGTGAAATCATATGATCACAAGAAAAGCTGGTCAAAGGCAGTGCCTGTGCCCACTGAAAGAAAACTTCTCACAACACAACGCTTCCCCTGGTAGAGACTACTAACAGAAGAATTAATAACAAATGGGAGGGGGCTGGCCAGTCGGGAGCTAATTCTGCTGTTTAGATGCCTGGCTGCTTTGGCTTCCGGTTCCCTGAGAATAAGGAAAATCTGCCCAAAATTCAGCAGAGAGGAAATTCTATCTGCAACTGAGGAAAAGATATGACCAAAGTTTTAAAAAGATTGTTTTCAGTGTTCTGAGATTTACGCTAGACCAAATACATATCAACTCATTGCTACACTATCTGACCATCTGGACAGGTATGACTTCCCCCCCCCCCTCACTGTTTTATACTTGCCCCCAGACACCGTCCATGAACACAGACCTGAGAGAATCTATGAAGCGCCATTTTGCAAATAACTCTGATTCATGCTTTTGGAAAATTTTTGCTAGAGGGGGCATATGTGTGAGAGATATGGATAGAGAAATGATTTGTGTCTCTTGATGTCTAATTCCTTAACAAAAAACTAGAAATCAACTGGTTATATTGACTCACAGCATAATCCCAGCACTCGGGAGACTAAGGCAGAAAGACTGCCACAAATTCCAGGCCAGCCTGGGCTATAGCTAGACCCGATCTCAAACAAACAAAAACAAACACAAATAGAAAACCCATTATACAGTAGTTCACATACATCCTAGTTCCTCACTTCCAAGTCTGAAGGATCAACAATACATCAACATAATCACACCAGAGAAAATGTCAAATAAAATGCACAAATACTTTAAATATGTCAAATAATTTAGTGAAATGATATAAAACAAATTGATCATAATAATTCAAGGAATATTTTGTCTATGTTAGTTTAAGTTAAAATGTAGGGAAAGGCCTAGGATAACACATAAAACTAGAGAAAACAAAGATGTAAACTCTATACACTACTATCTTAATTTTTTGCAAGGTTCAAAACTCAAAAACTCAAGGGGAGGCAGAAGTTGGTGGACCTCTGTGAAATCACGGCCAACCTGCTGGTCTACATAGCAAGTGCCAGGCCAGCTGGAGCTGCTGGGAGACCCTGTCAAAAAAAAAAAAAAAGTGCTCAAGACTCAATAAGAATCCAAGGTCCATGTGCAAAAGTATTACCAGTAGTTGCCCTGGAAGAACTTTCTTTGTACTTAAAAATCACTTTAATTGATTTCCTTTATAAAATTTATTTATTTTTATTTTTATGTGTGATTTGCCTACATGTATGTAAGAATACCTGTACATGCAATGCCCCCAGAGGCCAGAAAAGTTCATTGGAGCTCTGGAATTAGAGTTATGGACAGTTGTTAGCCATAGCCCCATGTGGGTGCTGGGAACCAAGCATGAACCCGGTCTTCTGCAAGAGCAGCCAGTACTCTTAACTGCCTAGCATCTCTCCAGCCCCACACTTTCCATTTTTATACAATTAATATACAATGCTTTTTATTACTGGTAGAAGTTAAAAGATGAATGAAAATCAGGCAGACTTAGCAAAAAGAACATAATACAAGCTCCAAAGTGGGATACAGCTCAGTGGTGGAACACTTGCCTTGCATGGAGAAAACCCAAGTTTAACACCTCCCAAAAAAAAACTAGTTTAGAAAACTAGTCTCTACTAAATTGGTTTTTTAAATATTTTACTTATTATTTTTATTTTATGTATATGAGTGTATTGCCTGCATGTATGTGAGTACACCCATGTCATGCAATGTCGCAGAAGTCAGAAGAGGGCTTTGTATTCCCTTGGAACTGGAGTTAAGGACGGTTCATAGCTGCCATGTGAGTGGTGGGAATCGAACCTGGATCCTCTGCAAGAGCAGTCAGTGCTCTTAACTGCTGAGCCATCTCTCCAGCCCTACTAAATTGTTTTAAAATGTGACTAAAATTCTCTGTTCCTGCTTTGCTATGAAGTCTGTTTCCCCTTTACTCAACAATGACCATGATTCTAAACCAGTGGCCAAGAATCCTAGCTCCTAACTCCAATCCCCTCCCTATTTATCTTATGACTGGTGGCGGGTTACAACCTTTATGGTTCCTTCACCTAAGAGCCTGTTCAGTAGGTGACAGGGCAGAGGTAGAGGAAGTGGAAGAGCAGGTGGAGAGGAAGAGGGGAAGTGACGATCACAGCAGTTCCATCAGCAGGCCACAGGGCCCAGTGTGTTAATAAGCACTCCCCTATAAAGCAGAAACTACAGGGCCTCCACTGTTCTGTTTTCTTCTCAATTAACAGGTGCATCAAGTTGTTAGACTTGGAGTCTTTGCAACTTTCTTTACACTAATTTTAATAATGCCAGACAACCAGAACCAGTGGAGGTACCTTTTACCTCAGTCAAGGCATTCCTAAGACATGGTGATCAGTTCCAAAGGCTCTAGAAATCCAAGTTGTAACCCCAATTTTCCTACTCCATTATTTTATAAATATATTTTACAAGGTTCAAATTCACTCCATGCCTGGTCCTCCAATGCTGCCCTGAGGAAATCATATTGTCTTTTTTTCTAACTTGTTGGGACTGCTATAAAAACTAAGACAACGTGGAACCTGCTGGCGGGTTCAGTGGAAATATATAATAGAAGCACACGGTGCCTCAATATTCATGAGGTACGGGAGTAAGGAATTGATATAATATGTAAGAGCAGTAAAGAAATACAGGAAAAAAATGCCTGTGGAGCCTTTCCACTGCTAGATATAAATGATCCCCACCCTTCCACTACTCTGAAACCACTGCCAGTTTTCTTGAAGCTGAGATTTAATAGCACAAAGATCAGGTTCTGACAATTCCACTTACATAACACTTCTACAGCATTACCATTTTACAAGAAACTATCGATTTCATTTACAGAATTCTAGTTCATGTCCTTTTGATTATGATTGAAGAAAATAAAGCTCTAAGACATTCTGCTGGAATTCTGCCTCTTACTCACAGAAGCAGCTCTGGTGGGCGTGTACTCCCATGGAAACTTTCAACTAAATCTTGTCCATGCAAAGCTCTTGTGTGGCCTCCGAACAACTGACATTAAAAAATCACACAGGGACTTTTAACATGCTACTTCTAAACTATGGAAGAAGTTTCTACACAAGGAATCCGAGCACTGGAAAGATGACTGTATTCATATAAACACATCCTTGTCATGCAAAATCGCATCCACAAATACCAGGACTTGGAAATGAAACACATTGAAGTCCTGGGGAAGAGCTGCCATTGTCTCCATATCCTTACTTTCCTGCTAAGGTTTAAAGCCGCCTCTTACTTTTCTTCATTCCCAGGATGTGCTATAGGAATCTATAAAAACTTAATTACATTTACTGTTACAAAAAAAAGATTTATGAACTTTTGCCTTGAGGCGGAAATGTTTATTTCATTGCCTTTGCTCGCTGGTCTTTTCAACTCCCAGGGCTTTGAACTCTTCAGCTGCTTGGAGTTATCACCGTTGCACAGAACTCAAGAGCTCCACTCCAAAGACGCACACCACAAGTTGAAGAAGATGGCAAAGGCAAAGATATATGAGTCGTTATTTTGGCCACCCTTTGTGCCATTAAAATCTCATTTTCTGCCTATTAGAATGCCCTCTTGGTGCTTAGGCAACGGTGATAGCCGGTGATTAGTGTGTAATTGAGTATAATTGTCTTTTCACTTTTCATTTGTGTCATTCAGAGCTTCTCTCTGTTTTTCTAACCACCAAGAGGAAAAAAGAGGTCGAGAAAAAGATAAAGCTGTTAAAACTCTCACTCTCAGCCTCGAAGAGATCCTCGATCACAATTATAGATTGCAACCCCTTTGTGACATTTCTCCAAATTTGCTGGGAGGCTCTCCTTGGCACCTGGGCCAACTGTTCTCTAATAAAATCAAGCTATCTGTATTTAAACAACTGCTAATAATGTCAAGCTCAGACAGATGCCACATGTAGGAAATTTAACCATCCCTCTGACATGCAATTATCAAGGCAATTTATTAATGCGATCTCCCAAGAAAAACTCATAGTTTGATGCAAATTAGAAAAACAATTACAGTGTTCAAATATTTATATAGCCCCAAAGAGCTGAAATTCTAATCTGTGCATTTATAGCTCATCTATTCCAGAGCTGGGTCTCTGGATGTCTCTCTGTCTCTGTCTCTGTCTCTGTCTCTCTGTCTCTCTTTCTCTGTCTCTGTCTCTCTCTCTGGTCTCTCTGTCTCTGTCTCTGTCTCTCTCTCTGTCTCTCTTTCTCTGTCTCTGTCTCTCTCTCTCTCTCTCACACACACACACACATACTCACACATACACAATTTTCTACTTCCTCTCCAACTGTTTTGTCAGAGCTTTGGTGTCCTCTAATGAGGATTTTTGGTCAGAATCCCGTCAGCTGACCCAATACCATTTGAAAGAAATACATACATGATACACAAAAAAGAAGAAAAAGAGGAAGAAAAGGAGGAGAAAAGAAAGGAAAAGGGGAGAGAAAGAAAAGAAAAAGAAAAGAAAAGATTTAGCATGTTTGTGAGGCTCTGAACCAAAGCTCAGAGCTAGGGAGCTGGGGGGCAGGGACAACACACAACAAAGTCCATGAGGAGTAAACCCACAGTCTCCATGATTACATTAGAAAGCACTTGAATTTTAAGCCTAAGCTACAACTTTTGATGCCTCCAGTAGAAAGGGAAGAGAGAAAGGAAACTAGAAAACTGAAATCATGTGGCTTGGATAAAGAATACATTATGGTTTAAATTTGGCAATTCATTATACCACTGCCTCAGGGAATTGACTATTTGGTTCTGGTATACAGCAAATCATCTGTCTAGAAACATTGGACTGACCTGAGGTGAAAGGCCATTGCCAATGGCGGGGTTCATGGGGTTGGAGGGCCCCGATGGAGGCACAAAGCTGTCTGTATAGCTTGAAAATCCATGCCTGGTGCTGGGGAGGCAGTAGGCAGAGCTGCTGTCGGGGTTCGAAGGAATAGTGGTTTGGTGTACAGTGCTTGGAGGAAGCGGTTGAGGTCTGTGAACAGTGCTGCTGGGATCCGACACCGCTGAAATAAAGAAGATGGTCAGCCATGCTGTTCTTTTGTAGGCCAGCAGAGTAAGTTCAGTGCAAAAGATGACATTAGTAGTTATCTGTTGGTCAGTTGCATTTCCCAACATGCAGATGTAAAATCACTCAACAAACACAGTCACATCGATCTTAGCACGTGTTTGCAAGCACGTGACTTGTGCGCATACTCTCACGGCAGACCACTCAGAATCTGAGCACATATCACATTGGTCATGCTAACAAACCAATTTGAGCAGTGAACACTATTAACAAATGAAATCTCTGAAGGTATCATCAAATTTCTCATCAAATAGTCTTTTAAAGCACTTACATATTAATAGCACAGTTTCAAATGTTTGGAATACCACTTTTCCCAATCCCCAAATAATAGTCTTACAATTTAGCATGACCCCAGCCTAACAAATGGTGAGTTTATCAAACCTTATGTCCCCTGAACTACTATTGGAACAATAATAGTCCTAGAACTTCAGTTAATTGCAAGCTGGTGCATAAAGGTGGCAGTCAAATTTTGACAGAAAGAAGAAAGACTCTTATTGAGGAAAGTTATCTTGTTTTAAAATCTGAAATACTATTATATATGTTGTTTATACTATTATTAACAACAAACACAGTTTAGAGAGACTCCGATATAGCACGGAACAAACTATTTCTGAAATGTAATAGGGATGTTTAGGAAAAGCTGATGCCATATGATTGACATACGAACAGTACCAATGGCAGCGTCGCAGAAAGAATTCACTGTATAAAAGAAGCACCAGGGGAAACAACTGGGAGTTACATTTTAATCTCCTGGCCCCTCTTCCTCCATACCTTGTGGGATAGATGTGGGCTGGTAAGAGGTCTCTGACAGCTGGTACGTTGGCAGAGTCGGCATGGCGGTGGGAGGGAATCCCCCCGGAATGAGATGGTTGAAAGCCATCAGTTGATTGGCTCCAGCTTGCTTCCTCCATCTTGCGCGGCGGTTGCTAAACCAGACCTATGGATTTAATTTAAATTTTGAGGATTTCACTGATGAAATAATAGTACATTCTTAATGAATTTTTCATGCTAAAACAGATTAAAGGCCCCTTACTGACAGGGCAAATACATGCAAGAATCCTCTGTCTTCTGTGTCATTTGGGAGTCATTTCAGGGTGAAAGAAGAGTTAAACGTCGGGGGTCAGGAGAGGGGCTGTAGGGACCTTTCATGGACTTGCCATCAGCTCCCAGGAAGCTGGTAATGACCATGGGCAGGAACCAGTGAGCAGAATTCAGGACAGTTAAGAACTCCCCACTGCTACTACTAACTGTGTACCTCCATATCACAACCTTTCAGGAAACCCACCAGCCACTTAGACTCCCTGGCCCGCCATGGCATATGTCTTAAACTTGGCCTTGTCCATTACATACACCAAGCCTTGTGCTTTATATTTGTATCAGCCTACTTCTGTATATCTATCACCACCATAAGCATAGATCCCAGAGAGTCACATGAATTGAGCATTAGGACAAACAAGTAAAGCCATTTCACCAACTCAAAGTATGAGACATCACACTGATCTCAGTGCAAATAAATGCCAATGAAGTGCTTTTTAAAGAGTCCTGTAATTAAAATAGCTTGCTATTTTTTTCAACAACAGCATTAGGTACCTGTAATGCTCTGTCAGGCACTATGTTAATCAGCTATGTTCAGAAAAATCTGATGGAATATAATAATATGCCTTCCAGAAATTCAGGGCCCAAATGTTTCTTGTGTCAATGAAGAGGAAAAAAATGCCAAGAAGAAATATAATTAAATATGTAACAGGTTGAAAATATGATATACAGTCTCTAATGGGCCTTAGGATCTTGTCCAATTCAGATTTAAGTCTATAGAATTAAAATGTCGAACTGCTAGCAATTTTTCCAGGGCACACACATAATGTTTCCCACACAGTGAGAGAGGATTTATACCAACAGAAGGTAATACAATTTTCCTATCAAAAGTTCATTGCAGCTTAACACAGAAAAAGCCCTGCATTTGGGGGTTGGAAGGATGGAAGGGGAACAAAGGAGGTGCTCAGCACACAGGTCGCCTCCAGCCTCGACCTCATGGAGCTCACAGACAGAAGCCCAAAAGAATTCTTCACAAGACACAGGCACTCCATGTTAGGAAGTACAAAGAACCAAGAAAACTTTAGAGTGGAGACAAAGTCTCTGTTTGCTTTACAAATTGGATATGCCAGGCGTGGTGGCGCACGCCTTTAATCTCAGCACTCTGGAGGCAGAGGCAGGCGGATCTCTGTGCGTTCAAGGCCAGCCTGGTCTACATAGTGCATTCCGAGACAGCTGGGGCTACAGGGAGACCCTGTCTCCAAAAAAAAGACCAGAAAAAAAAGAAAAAAAGTTGGATATGATTCTCACAAGGGACCTCTGGGATCACAAAGGATAGATGGAGGTCATAGCTCAAAGACAGCCAGTGTGGCTAAGAAAAGATGAGACTTGGCTGGTAGTGCCCTTGCCTAGAATGTTTGAGACCCTGGGTTTCATCCCTGCACTGGGAAAAAATGAGGTTCAAGATGTATAGCTCAGTGGTAGAGCACTTGCCTAGCTTCTTCAAAGCCCTGAGTTCAAGCCCCAGCACACACACACACACACACACACACACACACACGGACAAACACATATTGATTTCTTTGTAGGAAAATATTAACAGTTACATAACTTCATTATAATTTTTAAGTCATGTAATTTAAGGAAGAAAAAATGGAAAGCTTTCTTCCTTCTAGAATAGGAAACTCATTTTATCAAACACTTTGCCCAGACACCTGCCCAAACTTCTACTACTTCTCCAGGCATCTGTATGAAAAGGATTTTGTCTTCTCTAGCCATTTTTGCAAGATACTGGTAAGGAAAGCTGAACTCCTTCAGGATACTGACTTTTCATTTTTAATTTTTCTACATTCATTTATTTCTGTATGCACATGTGCATCACAACTTGCAGAAGTCAGTTCTTTCCGTCTACCTTGTGGGTTCCAGGGGATCACACTCGGGTCCTCCAGGTTAGCAGCAAGCACCTTTACCCACTGAGCAATCTTGCCAGTCAAAAGTATTAACTTTTACCACTCTACATATTCCCAACAGGAAAAGAAGGTAAGTCAGTACTTTCACATGTTGACACATAATTGAATTAGAGCTTTACTTGCTGGAACCCCGAACAGCACTGGTTTCAGACCTGTGTCAATTGTTTTCTCTCTGCAACTCCAAGTGCCTATTAATCCCAGAAGCATCATGGGAAGGAAATTATTTTAAAAGAAGATCTTGTCACAGAGCTGGAGAGATTGCTCAGTGGTTAAGAACAATGACTGTTCTTGCAGAAGACCTGGGTTTGAATCCCGGCACCCACATGACAGCTAACAACTGTCATTAACTCCAGTTCCAGGGGGCCCGACAGCCTCTTCTGTCCTCTGCGGGCATTGCACAACACAAGTTCACTTACCTACATACAGGCATAACACTCATACACAAAAAGTAAAAATAATGAAGTATTTTTAGAAGACAAAGATGAAGACGAAGATGAGGTGGAGGAGGAGGAAGAGGAGGAGGAGGAGGAAGGAGGAGAAGGAGAAGGAGAAGATCTTGTCACAATCCATGTTAGTCTGAAGAGGGTGGATTGAGAATTCACACCTGAGTATACTGTACCACACTGTAATTCACGGTACTCAAAACTTTATGATATAAAGCTATAAGCTTTAAAAGGCCTTTTTTGTAAGGCTGTCCCATCACACCTATTTAGACCTGCTATATGCAGTGCATTTCCATGTTTCTGTGCTAGCCTAGAAGTGAAATGCCAAGGCACTTAGACCTGTACTTGGATTGTCGCTGAAGCATGTTGCCAAGCTCTCTGCCTGCTTCCCTCTGTAACCTGTAGATAAGCCAGGTTGGATTTGCTTGGGATAGTTATTCCTGAGTTCCCCACAAAGCTCAGCCTGTCATTACTTCAAGGTGCACTCTAAGTATGCCTAGGCCAAGTTTGAAAAGCAAAAATTATCTTTGCTTAAGTAATAAAGAAGAGTCAGGTACAGTGGCACATGCCTTTATTCCCAGCACTAGGGAGTTAGAGGTGGATTGCTGTGAGATTGAGGCCAGTCTGGGATGTCTACATAGTGAATTCCAGGCCAACTGGGGCTACACAGTGAGACCCTGTCTCAAAAAACAAAAAACAAATAACAACAATATGAAGAAGAAACATCACTACCTTCTTCTACAATTACCTTTGAAAGACAGACTCCAAACAGTATGGGATTAAGAGTTTGAGATTTGTGCTCATTTTTCCAAAACTGATACTAACAAGTACTGAAGACATTGCATAAACTTATGAGGGGTTTTATAAACTTTTATGTTTATAATATAATACCTGTGTTATCTATAATAAAAAAATGAAGGGGCGGGACTACAAATATGGGTCAGTGGTTGAGTCCCTGGGTTCACACTACAGCATTAAAATAAAAATTAGATGAACAGGATAGTTAAGAAGCAAATCTTTACTGAAAGACGAATTTTCAGCAAAAGGCTCAAGAGTTTCCCAAAGGAAAGAATTTAAATGAGACTAAATAAATCCAGAGCCCCATTCCTGAGAGAACAGATTCAGTGCGGAGTGGCCTGCTTGTCTCTGGCCATTTAACAAGATTATTTTTTTATCATCTAATCAATGCCAGTCCTGGCATTTCCTAGAACCACCCACACCTGCCAAAAGAGGCATTAAAAGAAAAACATGCTAACATTGAAAACTGGAATTAGCCATTGCCTAATGTTTTGAAACTCAAAAAATGACTTGTTTCCAGCTGGAAAAAGTAAAGTTGCCCTTAAAATGACCTTTATTTTACAGCCCTATATAGACCAAGCAGGTGATACTGGGATGTTGTCATCACTCCGTACTTGACGAAAACCAAATCCCTACACTCAGAGGTCTTCTGTAACTCAGCATTGAATCATTAATTCCTAGCAGGAAGTCAATGCATAATCTACTGTGACGCGTGAGTGCATAATATTCCATGGCTCCATCCCTAACAGACAGAAGGAATTTATGACTCTGTTACATTTATTATAAACTTCTTATATTGAAGAGCATAACCATAGCAACAGAAACAAACTGGCCTTTGGTGTTCTAAGACGGAATATGTGTTTTCCACTAATGTCTTTGCCAATAAAGGCAGAAAAAACAAGGTTTACAAAATTAGTTACATAGCTGCTAAAGGTAATTCTATGATCTATAATTCACTGTAATTTTACTCTGTCCACATCAGGTCTCCAGGCCTTCCACATCATTGCTAGCATGGTGAACAAGTGAGGGCAGGAGGAGCATATTGATTGGTAGCCTACCACCATACATACTTAGTTGCCTATAATCGTTTGTATAGTATCAAAATCTAGTAGACCCCTGAAGCAAGTTTTTCTTTCATTTGATGAGTGGCAACTTGATTCATTTTCATCTGTTCAGTCCTTTTCTATTGAGTCCATCAATAAAGCAATATGCTTCTCAAAAAATGATCTTTTCATGAAATTCTAGAACTCTAGATTAGTCTGATTATTTGAGACAAAATTCGAATTGTTCAAAAGACCCTGGTAACATCATGATAACCATGGGAAAAGATAATGGATTTCAAAGGAAGAATAAAATTTTCATAAATGTGTCTCCTCATGAGTAAAGCAACCATTTTTTCCAGACTCAACAATGTAAATTGGAAGGAAAAATTAGTTCTTTCTATAGCAAAAGTGCAGGAATGCTTTTTATTCAAATAAATGAACGCAGACCAGGCAAAAGCCAACCCTTGGCTTCTCACTTGCCACCTCTTGAACCTGGAACACTTTGCTTAGCAGCTGGGGCGGGGGTGGGGGGGTGCTCTCTTTTGCCAGTGAGAAATATATCAAGTACTTCACAAGATCATTGTGATAGCTAAAGCACTTAAAAGAATACCCAGGAGGGGTTAGAGAGTTGATTCAGCAGTTAAGAGCACTGACTGCTCTTGCAGAAGACCTGGGTTCAATTCCCAGTACCCACATGGTGGCTAACAACCATCCAAAACTGCAGTTCCAGGGGATCTGACACTCCTCTGACCTCCACAAGCACTGCACGACATGTGTGTGCTTACATACATGCAGGCAATACAGTCATACACATAAAATAAAAATAATAAAGTATTTTTTAAAGAATACCAAGGAGATGTTAAGTGTTCAGACACTTCTGAGAAAACCAGGAGTTAAAGCCTGGCTTCATGTTCTTCACTCTGTGGTCTGGAGCCAAAGCCTTTTGTGCCAATGAGTAAACGGGAAGTGCCCAAAGAGCACCTCAGATAACTGAGAGCCGGTTTGACTTGAATGATGGGTTAGGTCAAATTTGCTTCCAAGTTTCATGGATTAGTGCTAATTGTCTCGTAGTGCGAGCCTAAATTTACCCATTAATAAATTACTGGTTTACATGTTTTGGTGGTGTCCTCAAAGGTAATCTAACCCAGCTTTTTCCATATGAGTTCTTTCAAATGCAATTTGGAAAAGTGAAAAGGAAAATGTAATACTTAACCCATAGAAGTCATGAGATTGTAAAATGCCTCATTAAACATTAGATTTTGTGATGTCTACTGCTGCAAGGCCAAATACAGTATTGCCAAGTAGGCAAGTCCAGGGCACACTGCCGGCTTCCCTGAACCCTCTCATTCATTCCCTCCTCCTTCCTCTCCCCATGCCTGCTCCCCTCAGTCTTTCTATCATTCCTGCTACCCAGCTTCAGACTCTGTATGGAAAGCAGGTGGACCAGGAGGCCTGCCATGTTCTCACACGTGTCACAGGTCAGAGGACACACGCAAGCCCAGTCACCTGCATCTCGACACATCAAGGGCAAGGTCCTGTGGAGAGCAGCAGATGATCATGTTTTTGCTTCATTATGGAGTTCAGGATTTTCCACACCTATTCTGTCTTCTGAATCATGCAGTTCTGTTAAGTGGCTTTCAGTCTCCTTTTGGGCTTTCCTGAGAATCCCAAACTCCTGGTGCAAATGGTCCTGAGAGATTACACTTCATAGTAGTTTTTAATTTCAGGGTAAGGGAGACATGATATTTGAAAATATGAAATTCGGGACACTGTCTATTCCTACAAACACACACACACACACACACACACACACACACACACACCCTCATGAACCAATCTCAAGTTGCCCAGATCTCCTGATATTTTTTTTAAAAGCACCAAAACCTAGTAGGATTAAATGACTTGCTCAACAAAGCATTTTTGGCAAACTGGAACCTGCATCTCTGCCTCCTGGCTAAATGCTACTTCCACAAGCAGCTTTACCTTTCTGCTGCCCATTACCTTGATGGTAAGACAGTTGCCTACTACAAGGTATTCTGAGATGAAATAGCCACTAAAATTTTGTACACCATGAGTATTTGCAAGTAATTCTGTCTCAAAAAAAAAAGCTTTCACGCAGCCATTATTTATGAACTCATCAAGTTCACGAACTCATTGAATTCAGCAAACAGCATTCATTTTTGCTGCTTCCTCTTCTAACATTGTTTCTAGGCAAAGTTTGCTATACACTAGTTCTAGATTGTGCACTCAGACTTGATTATAAGAAATGAAACTGTCCAAATTAATTTCCATAAGACCTAAGCTATGATAGCTTTAGTTTCATCTCTATCCAGAAGGTTCTAGAAGTATTTTTCTTCAAATGGGAAAAAAGAATGGAAGGTCAACGTGGTTTGGGGTTTGAGGGGCTGAGGTTTGGTTTTCCCAGGTGCCCCAAATTAAACTAACTCACACTTTCTGGCTATCATTCAAAGTAAGTTGACTTAGCTACTGCTTTCCCAGATCCTCCTAAAAACTAAAGGATTTTCTGCTGGCATTTTAATCAGTGATTAACTACTCCCTTCTCTTTCCTGCTGGGTTAAGTAAAAGATCCATATGCTGGTTGTTCTAGGGAATTTGTTAGGCTGTAGATCATAGCCTGGTGTACGATGTGATGTGTCTCAAGGGAACTAAAGAAGGCATAAGGAATGTAAAGAGTCACCGGGTTAAAGCCACATTAAGACAGCTGTTACATTAATGAGGGCCCTGCTCGGGAGCAGAGGTCACTGTATGGGAAAATATGAACCACTCTTTATTGGTTTGATCCCATGTCCTCTGAAAGTTAATGGACTATTATAGTTATGCCTTGACATTCGTTGGGCTGGATGAGCATGCTGGTCACTGTACGAGCTACACGGGTTTGAGAATCACTGTCTCCCATCCTTTTTGACAAAAACAAGAATGACGTAGACAAGGCTGAATAGTGTTCAGGTTTTCACCCCTTCTTTGTCTCATCTTTTTAAAGTTTATTTTTTGAGTCACCCTGTATTCAGAGCTGATAATGGATGTGTCTTTAGAACAGACCAGTACATAGGTTTGGCCACCATGGAGCACAGGAGCTAAATCCTGAAACAGCACAGACCCTCAAGGAGAATGATGATCCCCACTTCACCTTTAAACTGGGCAATGACAGAACTATAAAAGAAGTAAAATAGATGTGATATGGGTTTTCATAAGAGTTATTGTTATACTATTACAGCATTATAAAACTATTGAATTCCTCTACCCATTTCACTGGAATCAGAGTAAATAAATACATAATGGTCCATGGCTAAGGGAGACCGTTTCTGTCCTGTGCAGTGGACAGGAGCACTCTGTCCCAGTGAAATGGGCAAAAGCACTCAACAGTTCCAACTTTTTTCCCTTTTTTCATGTGTGTTCCTGTGTGTTTGTGTGTGTGTCTGTCTGTCTGTGTGTTGTATTGGGGGTGTATATGCATCTGTGGCGTGTGTGCATTGGATGCCTAAGGTTGATGTTAGGGCTCTTCTAGCACTCTTCCACCTTATCACTGAAGCAGAGTCTTTCAAGGGAACCCCGAGCTGGCTGATATGGCTAGTCTCCTGCTAGGGAGAGTGCTCTGGGGATCCTCTGTCTCTTCCTTCCAAGGCTGGACTTACAGGCAGGGGCCAACATGCCTACCTGCCATTACTTGAGTTCTGTGAATCCCAACTGCAGTCCTCAGAGCCATTTTCACAATGCAATAGTTTATAACTGATGATGAAAACATTTTACACTCAGCAGAGACATGTTAAATCTAAATACCTTTTCTGGAGGCCTCAAAGCACTGATAAGAGTTCATACAATAAATCAGGGCCAGAGAGATGGCTCAGCAGGTAAAGGTGCTTGTCACCAAGGTTGATGACCTGAGTTCAATCCCCAGAACCCACATAGTAGAAGAACAGACTCCCACAAATTGTCCTTTGTCCTGCACTTTTACTCTGTGGCACACACCCAAACCCATACCCACACACAAATACACACAAATGTAAAAAATTTTTAAAGATAATTCTCCATCATGTTAAAATAATATAATTTCTTAAAATACATCCAGACTGTAAAATCCTTAAGGGAAGGGACTGCAGAATGCACCTTTGCATGTTTCCCTAATGGAAAGGCCACAGATGAAGTGCGTGATCCAGTGATCTCCACACTAACAGGCAGCTGTGTGAGCTTAGATAATCTCTTAACTGACTGATGTTTCCACTTCCTCATCCATAGATTTTGGAGAGTAACAGTGTCAACAGTTTTAGTGATGATTAATGAATTTAATTCACGCAAAGCATAAAACTAATAATAGTGCCCAGTGTAAAATAACCACTCACTGTGTTTGCTAATACTTGGGAATGAGGGTCAACATCCGCAGCTTCTGATACACTGTAAGGATCCTGGAATGATGAGTGAGCATGCGCAAAACGAATCTCTGTGCTAGAAATGATAGACTCAAAACAACATGGGCTGGAAAGGTGGCTCAGCAGTTAAGAGCACTGACTGCTCTTACAGAGGACCCAGGTTCCATTCCCAGAACCCACACAACAACTAACAACCATCTTTAACTCCAGTTCCAGGGGATCCAACGCCCTCTTCTGGCTACTGCATGACACAGGTGCGCTTACATACATGCAAGCAAGACACTCGTACACATAAAATAAAAATTAAAAAAGAATCATAACAATAGCCAAAGCCTACAGATCCACATCCACTCTGAGCACTGTTCCTACTATGTTTATTTTCTTGATTTCAAACATTTTTCAGCTGTGTATATGTTGCACACTTATAATCCCAGCCCTTGGGACGTGGAGGCAGATGGATCATGAGTCGTTACATAGTGAGACCCTGCCTCCACAAAACAAACAACAAAAATATTTCACATGAGGAAACACTGTGGGCTCCTCTCTGGGAAGCCACAGACATCAGGAAATTAGTACCTGTACTCGGGCCTCAGTGAGCTTCGCCCTCTGGGCCAGTTCCTCCCTCGTGTAAATGTCGGGATAGTGGGTTCTCTCGAAAGCACGCTCCAGTTCTTCCAGCTGCTCGGCTGTGAAGGTGGTTCGGCTCCTGCGCTGTTTCCTCTTTAGTGGTAAATCTGGTTCAGAGTCAATGTCAGAGCCTTCATCTGATTGAGGCACAGAGGCTAAAAGAACAGGAGGAAAAAACATGGTAAATAGAAATCAAAAAGCAAGTCTCACAGGCCAGGGTAAGTAGAAGCCGGAGGTACTTCCTCAGTGTCTTCCCATGGGGACCAAGGCCCTCCCGTGCAGCACTGCAAGGTCAGTAAATGGTACTTAATCTCTTCCTCTTCCCTGTCTCCCTGCTCCCCAGGCAGAAATATTTGCCCTAGGTATCTGTCATTCTAAACTCTTAGAAAATAGGGACAGGCATTGTTCCACGTTTTGAAGCCCTGAACCTAGCATTGTCTATGTAATAAATGAAACATGGTCTCCCTATGTAGCTCCGGATGACCTTGAACTCAAATCCTCTGGCTTCATCCTCACAAGTGCTGGGATTACAGGTGTACCACCATATCTACCTTTTAATTTGATTTCTGATTTTTACCAGTGGTGTAGGGGGATGTATAAGAGTAAAGTATGATGGCGTGTATGTATGAAAAAATGAAACCCATTATTATGAATGCTAACTATAAATTAGTTTTAAATGAGGGCCAGCATAGATAGGGGGATCTCTATGAGATCGAGGCCAGCAAGTTCCAGGCCAGCTGGAGCAACAGGGAGGGAGACCCTGCCTAAAAAAGAAAGAAAGAAAGAAAGAAAAAGAAAGAAAGAAAGAAAGAAAGAAAGAAAGAAAGAGAAAGAAAAAGAAAGAAAGAAAGAAAGAAAGAAAGAAAGAAAGAAAGAAAGAAAGAAAGAAAGAAAGAAAAGTAAGCTATTTCAAGTTTGCTATATACTTATAGACTCTCCTGATCCTATAAGAAAATATTAGTATCTCGTTCCCAGGTAGTAAAATGCCTTAAGGAGAATTTATGTTTCATTAATGGAAATCTCAAGAACTAATCCAAAAAGGAGACATTGCCTAGTGAAGCATCCCTGCAGTGAAGTTCAGAGTCTGAGTCTTTGCTAAGAGTGGGCAGCTGCCTGGATTGCTGCCCAGGGCGAAAAGGAAAGGTGAAGCTACTTGTTCAAAAATTATTACAAATTTCAAACAGCACAACAGAGCATTGGCCAGTGCTTGGCTCCTTTTTAGTGTGGATTGAGAACATGCCAAACCAGGAGTCTGGCCAGGAATCCAGACACTGGGGCAGTGGGCAGAGAGCCATTCAAGGCTGCTGTGGACAGAGTCTGAAACCCGAGGAGGGACCACAGTGGCTTTGCTCCTGAGCCCATCCAAATGCACTCTGAAAACTCCCCAAAGAATGGGGGGAAGAGGGGAAGAAACCCCCGAGAAGGAGCTGAGGGTTGCTGTAGCAAATGGGGACGTCAGCCAGAAAACTGCAGATTCTTTACCTGATCAAGGTAGAGGTGGGGAGATGGCTCAGCAGGTGAAGGCCCTTGCAGCACAAGCCTGACAACATGACTTTGATCCCCAGAACCCACATAAGGCGAAAGGAAAGAACCAACTCCACAGAGTTGTCCTCTGACCTCCATATGCACACTGTGCACACATAACCCCACACACACACATCACTCACAGACAAGAATGATAAATAATTTTTTATAAACATCAAAGTAATTTGTTTGTGGCTCAGACTGGGAGGGCTGGGCAAGCAGTGTGAAACTGTAGTGTGTTTACTTCCCAGCCTGCCGAATGCTGGGATTACAAGCGTGTGCCACCATGCCTGGTTGGACTTTTGATTCCTTTCTTCAACTTGTTATTATCTTTTTGTGAGAGAAGAATAGGCGTGAGTGTCATAGCATACGTGTGGGGGTCACAGGGCAACTTTTCAGTCAGTTCTCACCTCCTTCCATGTGGATCCCAGGGATCAAAACTCAGATCATCAGATTTAAAGCCACTGGGCCACTCACTGGCCCCAATAATTTTAATTTAAGTCCAAACTTAATTGTAGCCTACAGAAATCTAAAATGTCATTGTATTTTAGTACAAATGAAAATCTAAAAGATGCATCTGAAAATGAATCCCTAAATATGCTTGTTAGGTTCTCTAATATTTTAATACGTCTACACTTGATACACACTTGAAGGCTCTGAAATAGAGAGGCAGCCAGTTAGTAACAAGTTAAGGAAAAAACACCCCTGAAAATAAACACAGTGTACATAAGAGCAAAATATGTGTATAGAACACTTAGAGTCTGTTAGATCTTAGGCTTATTTTTCATTTATGTTATCTAATATAAAATTAAATCATTTGTGATAAATTCTATTGTAGATGTTAACTTTAAAAATTGACTTCCTTTAACTATGAGAGTATTTTTTTAACTATGAGAGTATTTTTAAGGAACATTGACATGCTAAATAAAGTATATCATGCATTACATTATAAACTTCAACAGCTCTTGGTTCAACTTACATACATATATATTTGAATACAGTGAGTTAAATTAACAAAACAATCATTTGTGCACAATTTTAGAGCAGTGATTCTCAAAGTTTTGAACGATCAGGATCACCCAGATGGCTCGTGCAACCTAGATTAGCAGTTTTGGATTCAGTATGTCAGTGCTGGGCCCTTTGAATTTCTGTCTCTGAGGCAATCTCACCTGATAGAGTCTACAGATACTGAATGAATCTTAAAGAACAACCTCTATCAAATATTTCAGATTATCTCTTGTCCCTCTCAAAATTCTCAAGCATATAAAATACCTCCTACCACAATTCATCATAAAAATCATTCCTGCATATTTATGTTTAAATTGTGTAAATGATATGCTTGCTCCCAAACAAACAAATTACTTCTTCCCCTAAGAAGACAACAAATTTCCACAAAATATTTCCTCCCCCACTTCCAACTTTCTGTTGCTTTGAGTTTTCTTTCCAAAGTGAATACAGGCTAGAGGTTCAGCAAAGATAGTTTTACCCCAAGCTTCCTCTGCCTGTGAGAACCCTGAATCTTGACTTGCACATCCTTACTATGATCCCATTAGGATAATAGTATGTGGAAATCTTCACGTTTCCTCTGGGAGTCTCTGGGGTTATTAAATTCTCCCAAGTAAATATGATGTACCATGCACTGTCAGGTCAATTAATCAAAATCATCTCTGGTTTCTGAAGAAAAAGACTGGTTAGATTTATAAGCACCAGCAAGAATTAATCCTGAGGGTCAAGACCACTGTGTTCACTGGATGATCAGTCTCTTCAGATACTGATCGGCAAGCTCAAAGCCTTTCTTTGACTTGTGTATGTTGGGAACCTTGGCACACAGTATGTGCTTAGTAAATGCAAGTTGAATGAATAAAAGTACATGGCAAAATTTCAGTATTCCTCTAACACTGACTTTTCTGTTATTTTACTTCTCTAAAATGAAGGTTCTGCTTTTGTGAGCCTCCCAATATCTATTTAGAGGAGCCTGGAGGTCTATGGATCCCCAAAAGTTATTTGTAAAGTTCTGTAAGGATTTGGATACTTGTATGTGTCTTAGAAATAATTATTATTTTTTCTCAAAAAAGACTGTGTGTATGTGTGTGAGTGTGCATGTGTGTGTGCATGTATATAAGATAAGGAACTAACCCGTTGGCAATTAAAAAGACACGGAGTTTTTTAATTCACTAAGACAGTCTTTTCCACCACAAATAAAATTTCCTAACAAGCTAACAAATCATTACTTTTATTTCTAAACTGCTTACTCAAAAGCAATGGAAAAGTTCTATCTAACTAGGAAAATATCCAGACACCATTTCAAAAGACAGTGAGGAAATGATTTCCTTGATTTTTCTACTGGAAAATTATTGAAACCAACTGATCATTTTTGGCAATATGAAGCCGCAATTTTACAAGCTAATTGTAACTTCTCCCCATCTATAAACCCCAAAAGGATGTGGGCTTTAAAATATGTAAAGTCAGCAATCCAATGTTAATTTACCAGCTAGAAAGATCTAGCTCTTTCTAAGATGGAAATTCTACAATTTCTCGCTCAATCGAAGTGAAAGTCATTATTTGTACAGAACTTAATGTGCAATAAATGCCTGAATTTAAATTCATTTTCACCAAGCGCAAATCTAGAATTTAAGCTCCATTTTTACAGCACATAGGCACCATTTCAGTGTAGTTCGTCTATTTCCATATTCAGCTTTCCTCAAGCTAGAAGAACAAACTAAACAGTGTGTCCTAAATAGAAAATGAAACGGAAAATAGACCTTTCTTGCAGGCAGCCTCATAGAAAGAAATTACAGATTTTTTTTTTT